ATATGTATATATAACTATATATATACATATATATGTATATATATATACATATATATGCATGCATATGTATATATAACTATATCAAAACAAATGCATAAAAGAAGACCCATTGGCATGTGCCAATTATGGGAATATCTTATGAATGAAGGATTTTGATTGATGCAGTCTTTGCACCTGAAGTTGAGCAAGATTGTGGCTTGAGAGATAATACCTCTGCTACCTCAGACTCACTGGCCTGTAGTGAAGATATCTAAAGGAATCATGAGGGCCCCCTGCAGGAGTTTTAGTCTCAATGAGAGGCTACAGTAGATAAAAGTAGACGGTGAGACTTTTACTGCATTATTGCTCAGCCTGTGCTAAGGGAGACTCAGGAAGTGAAGCAGGACTATTCAGAAGACAAAGGTCACCAAAGGATATGGCTTCTGAGGGTGGGGGGTTGGCAACAGCAGGGAAAATAGGCAAAGATTACCTATACCTGATGTTTTCAGTCATGAATTGGTACCGATCTATCAACATCTGAGGACAGGCGTCAATGACTTTGGTTATGGGACCAACAGCTCACACAGGCAGGATGGGTAATGTGAATGTAAGTCAGAGGCATGGAGATGATGGTTTTGACAGTCACAGAATTTTTGAAGCACCTTTTCCTGACTTGGGCACATTTTTATTCCCATATTATAAATGAATGAACAGAAATTCTGAGAAATTAAGTGGCTTTCCTACATTCAGCTTTTAGCAAATTAAAGAGTACTTCTTGGATAAAGATCTCAACTTCAAATCTTCCACAAAGTGCTTCCTCTATTGTTTATTGCCATTGAGGTACATAGTGGGCATTTTATTTAATATATATAAGAATTTTGTGAGAGGGGTATTACTGCCTTGTTTTATAAGTAAAGAAATTAAGGGGCAGAAAGAGTAAGAAATCTATACAGATTCACATATTGGAAGCAAAGTCAAAAACTCTAATCCAGTGGTTTACTAAATTTCCATTGCTTAAAAAAAAAAAAACAACTCATACCACTGCTGTCCAATAAGGTCACATTTATCTACCTTCTTAAGGAATCAGCAACCCCTGCACCCCCCAGTAAAGAACTTAAAACCAAAGGGACCATATTCCCTATATGCTTCCTACTCCCACCCCAGCCCACTGGGCCTCTTTTAGAAATTTCACAGAAGTATGTCCTCATCTTGGGGGAAATTTGGGCTGTCTACTAGGGAAATTACTAGATGTCTACATTTCCTGACTATGGAGGTCTGAAATTTATTGTCATAAAACAGGAAGTGTGGCAACCATAATTCTCCCTTCTCAAAACAGAAGGGTTGTGGTTTTCTTTCTGTTGTCTGGATTCTGGGACTTACCTTTGGTGTAGAATTCTGTTTCTTTCTTTATCTACCATAGACTCAGCCTCTCCACCCTCCACACCCACCTCAACTGCAGCATTTATTCCTTGCTAATACCACATCCAATGCACCCCAAACACAAATTATTTCTGGTAGCTTCCTTCAAGCAACTTCTAACACTTAATGTATTATCTCATTTTTTTAAATTATAATTGGCCATGCTAATTGTATAAAAATTATGAGGCCTAGGAATATAGGAAGAGAGCTTAATACTGTAATAGACAATAGAACAATAATTTTCTTTGGCATACAACTGATGATATACACAGCCATTGTGGTATGCTGTTTTTAGACACAAATGGTGAGAAGTTTAGTTAGGGGACTATAATTTCCATTAGTTTAATACAGTCTTTCATTATGGCTTAATTCTTGTTACTACAAACACAGAGGTGTCTCTTTTTTCCTTTCCATTTACTGAGGAGGGTATGCGGTTGATATTTTGTTGCAAGTGCAGAGAATAGCCAGGATGCCCCAAGACTTTTCTGCCTTTCTCTTGCCTTTCTTCCAGTATGGCCAAATGAACTCTGTTTCCTTCTGCACATGATTTCCATTTGTCTCTGGTGTTCCCTCACTACTATATGCCTACTTCTTGCCTATATCCTATGTTTCCTTGAGTAGTCCTCCTCTTTTTTACTCCTTGGTCAACTGGACCAGTTCTAGGTTGGTGTGATGCCAATCAGTATAAGGCTGTGACATCTTTTGGTCACAAGGCTGTACCTGGTAGCAGGGTCTCTCTAAACTGCAGGCAGGAATATCTTGTGACCACTGGAGCCCAGGAGACTATTACAAATTCTTAAAATACACTCAAAAAGCATGGTCAGGTAATAAAATCTACTAAAATGGAGATTCGGGTCAAAACCAGGAAAATTTAAGCCTGAGTGTCTTTTCAGGGCTTTGTTGAAAAACATTGATCAGTTTGCTTGGTCATCTTGGCTGTCTGGTTTTCAAAGGGATTCCGTGGCAGATTCCTGACCTGGCCAGACCTCTGTCCATTCCTGTGAACAATGCTTTCTCTGCTCCAAGCTTGGCTCCAGGAACGCTTCCCTAGGCCTGTCTTCAATTCAGACTGAGGAGGGCCTCTGCTACCCCACCTGAGGTAGGGGTGGGGGAGCATGTGAACAAGGGTCCCTTGGGAATAGAGGTGCAGTCAGGAAGCTGAGTTTATCTCTCTTCTACCCCTGCTACTCTCTAAATATTGTTTTTACCTGCTCAGTCTGCAGTTTCTCCTCAGTAGTAAGGGCATGTGCTTTGAGGATAAAACAGAGCCTGGCAACAGCCTAAACCCTGTTGATCAGTCAAAAATGCTCAGTTCTGTGGAAACAGACTTTGTCACTATATCAACTGAGTTGTCTCCATAAAATGACCCTGTTTCCTGGAGATGGCTAGCACCCAGTCCCCTAAAGCAGAATATCATTTCCCTACATAGGCAAGGACCTCTCATCATAGATAGATGGAGAAAGGGATCATTGACTAGATGCCTGGTGCAGATCTAAAAAGAGTCATGGGTGTGACACTCACAGGAAGTGGAGTCTTGGGGGAGCTGCTGGCCCAGAATGGGGAGTTTGCCTCTGTTGTGTGATGCGAGTATATTTGTGGAGGGGCTGTGGAGCAATTTGTTAGGGAGCTCTGTCAGTGACCTGTGGAAGACTGATACACTAATTTGATATTCTATATTTCCTGAACCAATCCCAATTATATATTTTTTTGCTTTCTCCAAAAGCATATTTGTCATTCTTGTCAGAGGCCACAGAGAACTGCAGTCATTTGGCTGCCTTCTCACAGATCCAGCGGAAGTTGATGTTACATGGTGCAGCATCGTATGTCTTTGTTAGGCCTATAGTCACACAGTTGAAATTCTGATGTTGATTGGTAACACTAAATGGGAGAGAAAGTGTGGTGAAGGCCAATCGTTTCAGCTCTGCCTTTACTGATTCCATTCCCCCCCTCCCCCATCCCAAATCCAGCTCCACACCCGCCCTTTCTAGACTCATGGTCTTGGATTAACTCACTCTTGTGCTTGGTTAGAAACATCTCATCTGTCTTTTCCTCTCAGAAATATTGTTTTAATACTGCATAGGCTATGTTCACAGTAGGAGGAATGAGAGGAGGAGGAAAGAGGTTGCTTTTCCTTTTGTAGGCACCAGCTGGCTTTAGGAGAAAGTGTGTTGGCCTTCTCCCACCTCTTTTTCTGTCATTCAATCTGACTGGAAAGAGTCTGGTTTCATGGAAATGTCATGAGTTTTAGAGTCAAGGGGATGTGGGATTAAATTGTGGCTCTACAGTTTCCCAGCTTGACGATATTCAGTACATTTTTAAGCCTTCCAGCTTCAATTCAACTGTTAAATGAGGATGAATAAAAGCTTTTTCTACAACATCTTTGTGAATACCGTAGGAAATGACATGAGTAAGTGCTTAGCAAGTGCCTGGCATTTAGTAGACATTGAACGAATCTTAATTTCCTTCTTTCTGTGAGAAGCCCAGTTATAGGCTAGGGAACTGACTTGCTCTCTGTCTGACTCAACATCTTCATATGTACACCAGGAATGTCATGTTCTCCATCAATACTTTACATAAAGAAGCCCCATCTGGGGAATTTATAAGAACTTAGTAATAAAGTATGGTCTATGCGTTAAAAGAGACTTATGAGATATATCAAACAAATGGTATGTATATGGATTTGTTTGGCTCTTGATTTGATCAAAATAACTCACTGTATGACTACTCTTCTCTCTACTTACAAATGTTTGATATCTTTCTTAATAAAAGTTTACCAAAAAATGTGTCTCTGGAAATAGGTGAGTTGGAAGAAAGGAGAGGAATAAAACAAAAAACCAAGTCTCAGCCTTTGTGATATTCCAGGACAAACCCACTGAATCTCAGGACAGGTTTCTTTAGGTGAACTAAGATCTTTAGAAAAATGTGAGATATTCACATACTTGCCATTGAATATGGAGTTGTCAATCCAACGCCAACTGTTCTTTGCTTGCTGGTATAAGCCAATAAAATACTTCTCAGCACCAGTTTTGTCCTGGAGAAATTTCTAGAAGTTAAAAAAAATAGTTCAACAAAAAGTTTTTTTGCTGCTGTCTCCCTTTGCCAACAGGCCCTGATTCTGGGAACATGGAAGACTGATAAAGGACTCTGAGGCTGGCTACAGCTGGCACTCACTATAACCCCTAGAGTAGTTTTCACTAGGTACAGAGCAACAGGATCACCTGGAAATCTTGCTAAAACACAGCTTACTGGGCTTCTGGTTCAGTAGGTCTGGTGTAGGGGACCAAGAATTTACATTCCCAACAAATTCCCAGTGTGATGCTGATGCTGCTCTTCAGGGATCACATTTTGAAAATGAAGAGGAAGGGTACTATATAATCTAAAAGAGGGCACTTTTGAATACTTCTTTTTTATTTGGAACGCCTCTCTGCATAGGATTATTTCATTGCCAGAAATTTTACATTCCAAATGAGGTTGGATCAAGTGAATCTCTTGAATACTTTTCAAAGCAATACAGTTAGGGAGATTTAAAAGTGTGTTGAGAAATAGTCAGTGGTTTTTGAGTATTTGCTAAATTGACACCAATCCATGATATAATAGTTTCTTTATTAAACTAATGAATCACAAATCACTCCAGCTTGAAGTCTGGGAGTCCCTGGGCTCTTTCCTGTACTCTTCACATACCTCCTGTAATGAGTGGATATCCAAGTTCACTTGGATATTCCCTCCATCCCCAGGGCTATTGCCTTTATTCCTCTTTTTCCTATATTCTCCTTCCCTGAAATATCTCATTTCATTATTCTTTAAAATTAGTTACTGTACTTACTCATTTAACAAAGATTTCTTGAGTGTCCAGTGAGCCATTGAACACAGCTGGACATATGGAAATAAATTGGTTTCTCCTTAAAGAAATTATGATCTAAAACAAGGGTTGGCAAAGTACAGCCAGTAGTTTAGCCTGTTTTTGTAAATAAGGTTTTAAGGGAACACATCCAGGCCCATTTTTACATGTCATCTATGTCTGCTTTCGAGCCACAAGGGCAGCATTAAGTAGTTATGGTGGAGATCTTATGACCTGACATACATAAAATATCTACTCTATGACCATTTAAGAAAAATTTGCTGACCCATGGTTTAAAATAAGGGTTCTTAACCCTTACCTCTCTTACACTAAGTCATGAATGGTTACCAAGGGGATCTCTGAAGCTGTTAGAACTTTATTCAAACTATCATGCTAATGCAGTGTTTCTGGGATTCTATAGATTTCTGGACATCTCTATAGATTTGGCCACCATTTAAAAAGGTCAGCGATCCCAACATGGTGAAGATTCACTGGTCTAATAAGAGAAGACAGAGGAGTTAACCAGCATGGTGGCAGGTGTCCTAGGTGTAGTGCTGGCGAACATGTGCTAGATATAGCACAGGCAGAAGGGAGGAAATGATTGATTCTACATGGATTTGGGGTTTTCTAGAAAGACTGCAGGTGAAGTGATCCTGGGGATGGATTCTGAGAGATAGGGGAGGTTGTGGGTCAGGATGGACTTCCTGGAGGAGGGAGCATTGGATCACAGGCAGACTGCAGAGCAGCCTGGAGCATTTGAGGAACTCTAAGATGCTTAATGTGGTTGTGCAGAGGTAGAAGGGAGGTAGGTGGAGAGAGAAGACTGGCAAGAAGGCAGATGCTAGACTGTACAAGGCCTTATGTGTCATGCCAGGGAAACCAGACTTTAACCCAGTTTAATTTGTAAAATGGCACAGACAGTTCAGAGGCTTAGAGATGTTATCGTGTGGGTTCTATGGAGGATAGGTAAGAAGGGACAAAATCAGGAGCAAGGAGAGGAGTTAGAAGAATTCTGAAGAAATCCAAGTGAGATATGAACAATTTACTGTGGAGAGAGAGGGGAAAAGACTTGGTTAGCAGCTAATTTAGGGGAGAAGAGAAGAGGTAAAGTCTCAGAAAATCATCAGCATTCAATCTTGGGTAACATGACTGCTTGCCAATACTTGGAACACAAAAGGAGGAAGCAGGTGAGGTAAAATATAATTTGGCTCAGTTTTGAAAATGGTGAGTTTGTGATGCTTTTGAAACATCAGAGTGGATTTTGATATACTGTTTGTTCCAGAGATGACTAGCTGGGGATACAGACTTGAGATCACTAGCAAATCCTTGGTGTGATGAGATTTTTCTGGAGAATACCACGTATGACACTTGAGATGCACCAGAACTTGAAGGGTGAGTAGAGGAAGAGGATGTCAACTTCCTCTACTCAACCCTTTATCCCTCTCTTCTCTTCTTTTCCCCTCCCCTGATCCCCACCCCATACTACTCCTGGCTTTCTACCGTAAGACATTTTCCCTTCCCATCTGTATACTCAGCCGCAGAGGTAGCATCCTGACCCCTACTCTTTGTTGGACACCTGTTACCAAGACTCAGAGAGGGCCCTCTTATGAATTCTCCTCAACCACAGGAGGACTTTACAGAGGAAGGGTGAAAGATGGAGCACAGAGAAGCAGGTGTGCAGTATCTCCCACATGCCTAGCACTCAGTAGATGCTTAGGATTTGAGGGAGAGGCAACTATAAACTAAAATAACTTACGATCTAAAATTGATTAGAGTGTGGGTTTTAGAGTTGGTGAGATCTCAATTCAATTATGTCCTGTCACTTAGGAGGTGTATGACCTAGGTCAAATTATTTTTCTGTGCCCTAGCTTCCTCATATGTAAAGTATGGATAATAATAATACCTCCTTGGAATCCTTAGGAGGATAAAAAGAGATAGTAAAATAAAGGCTTTTGCATTGTGTTAGCCATCTTTATTATCATAATTATATACTGCAATCCCAATTCTATGACCTGATTCTTTGTTTTTCATATAGCTAATTTTGTTAATTTGCATCTTCCTTATTTATGAGGCCAACTTGGATGATGCATTAGCTCTAATGTAGAGCTAATGTAGCTCTAATGATACATTAGCTCTAATTTACAAATATGAAGTATTCCATAGTTTTTAAACAACTTTTAAACACATTTGGTCATTCCCTGCACTTTAAATATCCTGGCCCATCCCCAGGATACCAGTGCACTGCTAAGCCTTATGGAAAAGACTATAGAGTGTGGATTTCCCTAGCTCAAGTGATCTGAGGCATACACCCCACTGCTACTGAGAAGAGTCTCCCACCACCAGATTCAGAGCAAGGAGCTTGGGCTCTCAGCCAGCCACCTCTCTATTCCTCACCTCCACCTGGCCCTTGCTCCATCAATCAAATTGACCCATTGCCCCACCATCTCCTCCTGCTGAGGCTGCTGTAGGGCGGGCCACTTTACTGTACCCCCCTAATGCTCTCACCAGTTTCTGTGGCGTGTCCACAATGGCCAAAGTGGATCCTTCTGTTTTGCAAAAGTCCCTGCTTTTGTTCCAGGACAGTTCAAAAGGGGACAACAAAAAGCATCTTCTTTGATGAAAATACCACCCTCTGGAGCAGACTAAAGAAATCCAAGAAAAGACAGTATAGGATTAGTGGTTTGGAGTGTGAACCCTGGAACTGAGTCAAAACATAGTGGGGCATGAGTTTCTTTATAGAAGTTATATCAATGCAAATCATCCTCCATCCTGGAAGAAATCCCATGCAGTCTAATCCGAATTTCCCTGTGGACAAAGTGAAGGGGATGAATTAGAAGATCTTTATGGCCCCATTGAGCAAGAACGTTCCATAAGCAAGGAGGTAATGGGAAAAGTGTCTAAGAACTCATCACATAAGAACCTGGGATAGAGGAGAGATTATCGTCATACACTGTACCTGTTCCGGAGCTCTCTCTGGGAACTGAGCTGACATTACTGCTCCCGATAGTCTGAGGAACTGAAACAAAAAGAAAACCTGAAGGTAACTGCATTATGAGTACAACACAAACATCAGAGCAGCTGTTTGGTCCCTGCAACTATTTGTCTCTGGGCAGTGGTGATGAGAAGGCCACCATTGGCTAGAAGTTTTCATTTTCTTTCTTTGAACTTTCCATCTAATTACTACCATTTTTAGTCATGCCCCACACCCCACGTCCTATTTCATATCTTTTTTGGAGGGGGGAGTAGGTGTGAAATGTTGAGAAATAGAACAGGAGAAAGGAACAGGAATGGGTGAATTTAGTACCAGAAAGGAAACCTCTCATTCCTTTCCATATATGCCTTCGACAGTGTTGCCCCCTCCCCTCCTGCCCAGGTGCTGTTTGGAGCACTTCCTGCTCTCGGCTGCGCACAGCATCTGTGCTGTTCTCCCCATCTCTGGTGCCTCTAGACCCATGTGAACACTCTTCTCCCATGGGTGGCTCTTGGCCCCACTCTCATCAGCACCTGCCAGCTCTAAGAAGTGAGGCTAATGGGAACTAGTTTCAGGACCAGGGATATTGACAGACATGGAGGCAGGTGAATGTTCCAGAGATTTCCTGTGGGCAGAGAAAAGTCCATTTATGTCTTTAAATATAAATAGGGGAATTGATAGGCCTCTAAGAAGCCTCATTTTTCCTGAGAACACATTGCCTGGCCAAGCAGACAGTGCAGTGGCTTGGAGGCTGGTCAAACCTCTCCTCAGCTGCCCAGTTATTTGTCCTGTGTGGATGAAGACCACTTTAGTTTACCCAGACACCACATCAGCTACTTCCAATGATATGAATGAAACATACCAGTTAGCATTCACTTTTTATTTCAGTTCCCAGTTCAAAGGCTCTTTGTATTGAAAAATAACCTGGTTTTCAGCAGAAACCATTTGGGGATTATAACTGCACAGAACTCCATAAATATTTCATGAATACTGCTTCCATACAGCTCACTGTCCTAGGAGCCTCAGTTGATACAAAGATGAACAAGCAATTAACTTTCTCCTCAAGATGTATGTAGTAATAAATGTTTTAAGAGGAAGTGAGAGGGAGGTTCTTAGGAAAGTTTTAAGAGGAGGAGGTTTTAATTGGGAGAGCCATGTCTCATTCATCTCCTTATGCCCCTTAGCTTCTAGCATGGGGCCTTGCGCTTTACTGAGGACAGCTGGCTGATAGCTCCTGGTTCTTACTCTTCTTCTGTTGTTGGTCTAGCAGAGTGATTGGCATACAAAAAGTGCTGGTTATAATCTTTCAGTTTTCCTGTGGGAAGTAGGTTTTTGGTTTTTTTTTTTTTTTTTTTTTGTATAACAATTCCTTTAGGTATACAACATGTCAGAGTTTATAAAGTCCTTTCTCATGACATTACAGTGATTATATACAAATCATCCTCACACTCAGGAGGAAAACTAAGAATCACAAACTTCGATCAGCTTAGTCTGCGTTTCCCATCTATAGAAACAGGGGAATTAATTAGAAGATCTTTTTTGGGGGGCTCATGGGTGGCTCAGTTGGTTAAGCGTCTGTCTTTAGCTCAGATTATGATCCCAGGGTCCTGGGATGGAGCCCCGCGGTGGGCTCCCTACTCAGTGGGGAGTCTGCTTCTCCCTATTTATTTGAGAGAGAGAGAGATAGCGAGAGAGCATGAGCAGGGGGGTAGAGGGAGAAGTAGACTCTGAGCAGGGAGCCCGATGTGGGGCTGGATCCCAGGACCCTGGGATCATGACCCAAGCCAAAGGCAGACGCTTAACGACTGAGCCACCCAGAGGCCCCTAATATAGTATTGTTAACTATAGTCACCATGCTGTACATTAAATCCCTACAGCTTATTCCTCTTATAGCAATTAGCATATCTTTATGGACCCTCCCTGCAAAAGAATTTCTTAAGAGAGGAGGCTTTGAGGAAGGACTATAAAAAGTCAGCACACAAGAACCTGGAGGCTGGGAGGAGATCATTGTCATGTACATTACCTGTTCCATAGCTCTCTGTGGGAAGGAAGTTGACTTGACTTTCTCCAAAAATCTGTGGGACTGCAAAGAAAATCAGCTATTGGCCCAGCCCCAAAAGTGGCTGCAGGATGACTATAACAAACCAACATCACCCAGGGGGTGCTGAGGCACGGTGACTATTACTGTGAGATCTGGAGCTCTCTGACTCAGGTCAACGAGGATGTGTATGTGTTTTTTTTGTGAATGTGTTTACTTATTCGTATTCATATTTTCTTCCTGCTCTCTTACATGATAGGAATTGTGCCTTCAGCTGGGTGAAAGGAAAGACACCTCTTACCCAATTGCTGTCTTTTACTCACATTTCCTTCCTCATTTATGTTCCCTACTGGTTTCTGGGACTGGAAAAGATTCTCACAGCTACAGCGAAACCCTTTGATTACAAGGCTTCTCCTAAGCGTCTGGATAAAAGTTTCTATGGACATGGAGGGAAATTTGTCCCCCAGTAAAAATCCCATTACTTCATCATGCAGCTCGTACCTCAGCCTCATCATTGGGTTAAACTGACGCTGATTTTCAAGTTTGAGGAACAATAACAAGCGCTGATAAGTATTTCACCTCAGATTGCCCAACTAACACCGTAGCAGCAAAAGCTTTGTTTGGTATTCTAACTGTCAGACACTAGTCAGTTCTATATCTCCAAAGCAGACTGAGGGACCCAGCCCATTGCGTGTGCTGGGGAGTGAGAAGAGCATTGTCAGTTACCCCACACTGGGTCATTGCCCTCAGGTGGGAAGACTTAGGCATGTAGCCTTTATATTCAACTTTGCGTTCTGAGAGGAAAGTCAAAGAACAAGACAGTATGGGGTTGGGGTAAGAGGTTGCTCAAATACTCACAGTAAAGCAGAAATAAGGTCATTCCAACAATTTTAAGCATCACTATGATAAGCACAGAGATTATCATGTGCCAGTTCATGATGAAGGCGATGAGGAGGCCTGTGGGAATTAGATACTGTGCTCTAAGAGAGAGAGAGAGAGTATCACTTTAAAGATCTGGGAGCAAGTCTTCTTTCTAGCAGGACACATGCTTCTTTCTCAGAGCACCCTTGGGGGGCTTGAAAGGCAGGTGTGCCATTAACAGCTAGCTATAAGAATAAGGTCCAACCGATGCCCAGAAGACACATAGAATTTTGTACTGATTGGGAGCCTTTGAACTTGGCATGGTGCCTTTCCTTCACCCATAACTTAGCTCTAGACTTTAGCCCTGTTAGTCACCTCCTAAACTCTGTCTAATGAAATAAATCCTCTCCTGGACTTTAAGAACCCTTAGCTTTGAAATGACCCTGCTCTCTAGGACCTTCTCTGTGGTCTTGGCCATACTGATTTCAGCTGTCAAAAGTCTCACTCTCCAAAAGACTATGCCAGGACTCTGTGCTCGCTTCGGCAGCACATATACTAAAATTGGAAGACTATGCCAGGACTCTTACAGACAAGACAGGTGTCCCCAAAACTCTTGGAATTGGGGAAGGGCCAATAATCTGTGCAGGGAGGACAGACAGACAGACTCACCTGCTCTCTCTTGGGAAGGCTGGCCTAGTTTGCAGGTGGGGATCTGCCTGGTGGCCTTACGCCTCGTGTGGTGGGCAGAGGAAACTTCAGAGAATATGCTGCTTCTGCTCAAGCACTGTCATTCCTTCTTTACATGGTCTTTCTATCTTGGCAGCATCCCTGAGCAAACACTTCTTCCTGTTCAATGTTCTTGACAATGGGAGCGGGTGGGGCAGGGAGGGGAAGGGAGTTTATAGCCTCTGCAAGAGGAAGCTTCCTGCCAGAGGGTTTCTAATACAAGGGGACATTTTTCTTCTTTAAAGAATTATTTATTTATTTTAGAGAGAGAGAGAGAGAGAGAGTGTGTGTGTAAGCAGAGAGAGAGAGAGAGAATCTTCAAGCAGACTCCCTGCTGAGCATGGAGCCTGCCTCAGGGCTCCATCCCAGGACACTGAGATCATGACCTGAGCCAAAATCAAGAATCCAATGCTTAACCAACTGAGCCAACCAGGTACCCCTAACAGGGGAAGCTTTTTAGGAGAATTTGGAAAACCACCTTGACACAGACTCACCCTTTCTATGTGTCTGTGTCTCCTTGAAATACAGTGGGAAGGAAAGGTAGTAAAATGTTAACAAATAGAGAATTTGGGTGAAGGGTACCTGGAAATTATTTGTACTTTTCTTGCAACATTTCTGCATATCTGATATTTTGTCAAAATAGAAATTTTAAGAAATCCGCCTGAAGTCACTAATGTTAGTGAGCAGGTCTTCCTGTGCCCCATCTGCTCCATTCATTGTCATACAGCTCTGCACAGTACCCTTTGTCATGGACTCCTCTTCTCTGGCCCCAACTGCTCACTCTCCAGACCATGTGCCATGTGAGGATAGGGACCATTCAGTATTTCTTGAGTATGGCATTCTGCTAAATATAGGAAGTGCAGTGAGGGTGAATAATACTAAAGTCTTATTATCAAGAATTTGTACTACATATTAAATTTGAAGTTTTCCTTTTTTTATATTTCCCGTAATATAAAAGCTACATGTGCTCATTATAAAAAATGGCTAGAAAATATTTGTAGGGAAAATTGAAAAAACAAAGAAAGTCCATATAAATTCACATATTTAGCTCTAGTCACTTAACATCCCTGGGTGTATGTTCTTTCTAGATGACTAGGTAGTGAAAAGATAGTTGATAGACAGATATATGATAGCTAGCTAGCTAGCTAGCTAGATAGATGATAGATACTGGTTCATTTAGAAAAATGGGATCATATTGTATGCATTGTTTTGTAATCTATATACTATAGATTAAGCTAGCACTATATAAATATCCTTCCATGTTAAAATATAGATTTTGCACTTACAAATGGTCAAAATGGAAAATTTTATGTATATTTTACCACAATAAAAAAATGAAAAAAAAGAGAAAAACTGAGATTTGACTTTGGTAATCTTCACATGATATTAAGATGAAAATGCAATCTTTAGCATGTGTATTATGCAATATAACAATTGTCTTACTAAGACAATGGAATCTATAAACTGTAATTACCAAAGAGTTCGGGGAGATAGAAAACCATGCCCACACCTGTTCTTGGAAGAAATTTGGACACAGTATACAGCTAAACAGCCTTCTGGGTGTACTGTGGGTTTGTTGTGGGGAAAACAACGTGTGTGTGTGTGTGTGTGTGTGTGTGTGAGAGAGAGAGAGTGAATTGAAATGGATAGTCATTAAAAACTCTTCCAAGGAAGAGCAAAATAGGGGCCATGGAGTTTACTTTCCCTCAGCATCCAGGATCAACTATTAAAGCTGGCAAAGTATGGCACCAAAGAGATGGGCTGCCTGTTTTCAGAATCTACACCCTGTGGTGACAATGGCACAAAAATACCAGTGACGTAGGAATTATGACTGCCCTCTTTGGATTGATAAGCAACCATCGGTATCATAGGGTCGAATCTGGGAAGGAAATCTAGAAGAAGGGGCTCCTATGATTCATTGCTTGGTGTTTTGGAGTGGTATCAACATGACTGTTTACCAAAATGACTATATTTTATACTTCACACAGAGAAAGACAAATACTGTCTCTTGAGCTTTATTTTTAGGCACATATACATTTAAATGTATGTATTTCCTTCACTATATATTGCAGGAATTTTTTCAAGTAGTTTAATGAGAAAACTTGGAAATTGAAAGAAACCTGATGTTTCCTCTTATCTTTACAGTCTCAATTCTTGAAAAGATTGAGTTTTTACTGCCTCCTCTCCCTCCCCTCCCACTTTCTCCTCAGCTCACTCCAATCTGAATCCCACCATGACTACATCACGAGATAATGACTCCTACTCAGTAGTTAAATGCATACAGTTTGGTCTTCATATTTACTGCTCTTGAACAAGGGCCCACATCATCTTATGTTGTATACTTTTTCTTGGCCTCCATGAGTCTACATTCTTCTGGTTTCCCATCTTTCTCTCGAGCCTCTCCTTTTACTTTCTTCTCTGCCTATTCCTCAAATTGTATTCTTATCCCTCTTCTCTTCTGAGTCTCATGGTTTCAATAACCATGCTCATGAAGATGATTCTTAAATCTTTACTCTGAGTTTCAGATCTGTATATTTTCTGACTGTTTCATTTTTCACTGAGATACTCCACAGACAGCCTGGAGTCAACATGTCCCTAAGTGAATTAATTACTACCCTCTGCTAAAAACACGTTCATATGACTCTTATGTTCTCTCTCTCGGAACGTGAAGACCATCTCTTCAGTTGCCCAAATCATAAAACGTGGGTCTTTTCCTTCTCTTCCCTTCCCTCCCCTCCCCTTCCTTCCCTTCCTTCCCCTCTCTTCCCCTCCCTTCCCCCTCCTGTCCTCCTCCCCTTCCTTTCCTCTACCCATTCCCTTCCCCTTTCCTTTCCCTTCCCTTCTCTTCCACTCAGACTCCATGCCATGATGATTCTGTCTCCTCGAGTCTGTCAAACCTGTGTTTTTTTCTCCTTTCTACCAGCTACCTCTTGCTCTCTCACTGGCTCTATCCTCCATCTTCTCAACAATTTCCAAAGAAACCTCTTGCCATAATCTTGCTTCAACAGTTCACTCTGCATCAGAATGATCTTTCTAAAATGCAGACTTGATTGTATCATTCCCCTAATGAAATATTTGAGTAACTTTCCATTGCTATTAGAATAAGTTTTGGGTTCCTCAATGTGGTCTATGAGTCTTTACATGTTCGTTCTTTCAGCAAATGTTGCTGAGTGCTTGCCATATGCCAGATACTCTTCTAGGCACTTAGGATATATGTTCTGGTTTTTCTGTACATCTCAGGGTACCACATGTACCCATGCACTGTCTGCTAGCAACATTAAACTTCTAGTTCTTTATACACTCTCTTGGATCCAAGTCTTCATATATTCACCTGACATGTACTTATTGAGCACATAATATATGCAAAGCAGTAATCGAACCACCTCCCCTCTCCCAAGCACATATATATATTCTTATATACTCTCTTGAACTAGATAATTTTGACTCATTCTTTGAGTCTCAGATTAAATGTCGCTTCTTTCAGGAAAATTTTCCTGATTCTCCTTCTTTACTCCAGTTGGGTTTAGGTGCCCTTTATCTGCGGACTCGTGATATCATGTACTTTTTCTCTGAGGGCTAAAGGAAATGTGTGATAATGCACTTGTTCACTTCCCCTGCTAGACTCTATGAAGTCATGAAGGCAAATCCACAGTGTTTGCAACACTGCACTATGGCATTAGGCTTCTAGGCTTGTTGGATTTTTATCATTTACTCATGACAGTGTGGTAGGGCCTACAAAATACTTCCAATCAATTAAAAATCTGTGTAATATTCTTTGTGTGAATTAAGTAGTTTTCAATAATGATAACTTAAGAGCTAGACCATCTCTGAAGGTGTTGATTTCTGATTAGAAAACTTCACATCTTACTTAAACAACCACCCTGAAGTATGGATTGGGACTATAGTACTTCAAATGATAACTAACCACCTCCTAGTTTATATAGAGTTAATTTATGTTCATACATATGATACTAATACTGTGTTATTTTAAAGTAAATTGCCACTCAGACAATGCAACAACCCAGAATTCATAGAATGCATGGGATAAACCTACTTTGGGAGCAACTAGAAGAACCCTTTATTAGAACTGTGTTATGTATACCCTAACCTGAAGAGTCAGAAGCTGGAGGTGAGGGGTGACTGTGGAGCCTGGAGAGGGGAAGATTTAGAGCCTGTGGGAAGGGTGTCAGGTTCTGGAGCCTACCAGAAGCAGCATGGAAACACTCACAGTTGGCTTCCACATCATGCAGTGACTCACTGAATAAATGAGAAGTCATGCTGCAGGGGACAGTCATCCACTTGGATAATGAGGACATTACTGCTTTCGTAGCCAGCTGCCACAGTATCAGG